TCTTTAAATTATAAATTATTCCTTTTATAACTTCCATTCCACTTTCAGTTAGAAGTGTCTTATTCCTTAATTCTTCTGGATAAATTTTAGAATCAGATTGTAAATCTTCACAAAATAATCTGATTTATGACATTGAATTTGTAGATTAAATTTGGAGACAATTGACTTTTTTTAAACAGTGGATCTCATTAACTATAAACTCATCATCTTTCCATTTATGAAACTAAATTGAAACTAAATTATGTCTTAAAATATTGATAAAATAAAAGCAAAGCAATCTTTCGCTTGATTAAATGCTAAGTAATGGGCTATAGATATTATGAATGGACAACTCAAAAGACATTTTGCATTTGGTTGTTGAGATGTATAGAGGTACTTCTTATATATTAAATAGAATAATAATGAGCAAACTTGTTTCTGATTTTAAATGGAATATGTTTAATGCTTGAACTTAGACAACATACCAAATAAAGTTAAAGTATCATTATACCAATAGATGCAGAAAAAAACATTTGATAAAATTAGATACCCACTCATAATATAAGCCCTTAAAAAAAAAACAAAAACAAAGAACAGGAGACAGCAGTTTTAAGGAACGAATATATAAATTCCTACAATAAGTATCATATATAACAATGAGAACTAATGTCTTTTCCTTTAAGAGTTGGGAAAATATGAGAATGGTCTCATCAGCATTATCCTGGAAAACAAGAAAAAAAAATAGATAGTATACACATACAGAGTGGAAAGAATGAAATAAAACTCTCTTTTATTTCCTCAGATGACATGATTGTAGATCAAAGAACCCACGAACAAAACCTACAACACTTGTAGTATTAACTAGCTGAGTATAACAAGAGTGCAGGATGTAAACTCAATATACCAAAGTAAAATGCTTTCCTGTACACTTGAAATTCAAAAGCAATAACACTTAACAAAAAGAATGAAGTGTCTTGATAAACATTTAACAAGATATATAAGATATTTTATGCAAAAAACTATAAAACACAAATGAGAGAAATATAAAAGATCTAAATGAATGGAGAAAGAATCCCCCATCATGAACTGGAGGAGTTGATATGTTTAAGGTGCCAATTCTTCCCAACTTTACCCATAGATCTGACATAATCCCAAATAAAATCCCAGCATGTTGTAAGAGACATTCATAAAAGTACAGGAAAAACAGTTGAGTGATTGATTTAGGGACTAGTATGGGATCTGAAATTTAAAAAATGGATGATTTGGACTTTAAGTCATTTTAGCATGGCAAAATTAGAAAAACCTGGCAATACAAATTGCTGACAATGATATAAAGTAGCAAGGATTCTTCTGATTTCTCATGGGAATGTGAAATGATAAGACCACTTTGAAAGACAATTTCATCATTTCTTGAAAATAGGTTGAATTACTACCCCCCTTCCCACTGTCCGTTCAAATGTTGAACTCTTAACTCTAGGATCTCAAAACATTATCTTATTTGAAAATAGGTCTGTTACAGTTGTAATTAGTTATGTTGGAGTACTGCAGGCCAGATTGGAGTAGGGTCGGCCCTTCATTTCCTTATAAACAAAAGAAATTTGGAGACATGCAAGGAGAACATTAAGCAGAGGTTTTAGTACATGCTTCTATGTACTAAGAAAGTCAAATATTGCCAGAGAAATATGGACAGATTCCAGAATTGTGAGACAACAAAATATTCTTTGAGCCATTTAGTTTTTGGTATTTTGTTATGGTAGCTCTAGGAAAATAATACACTAAATATAGTCTGAGCATATGGTACTCAGTCACATTATTAGGTATTCTCCTGCCTAACACACACACACACACACACACTTTGAATGTTAACTACAGTTACATTCATAATCACCCCAAACTGGAAACAATCAAGATGTTCTTTAATATATGAATGGCTAAACTACATACTCTTATAATGGAATGTGTTTAACATGAGAAAGCAATAAGCTATTGAAAACCAGGCAGGACTGGGAAACTATTCCTACTTTAATGCTCTATGTGCAATGGAACTGATACAACCTATCAGTTGTGTCAACTGATAGAACCTACAACAATCCAAACCTATTGGATTCTCTTCCCAGGCCAGAGAGGAGGACAATTTTCTGTCTTCCCTTGCTTGAAGTTGGGATCAAGTGTCTAGGCTCTGGCCAAAGGAATTGGGCAGAAGCAAGACAAGCCACTTACAGGTGGGGCCCAGGTACCCTCCAGGTGGGAGTGCAGAGGCTCCAGAAGAGATTTTGGTTCTGCCTCCTCCCAGCCCAGAGCCCAGTCAATCCTGCTGGTAAAAGGATAATGTATCCTTGAAAGTCTGTGTATTCCTGGGTGGGTGGGTGGGGTGGGGGTCACCTACAAAATTCACTTGAATTTTTTGACTGTTAGGTGAGAGACTGTGGTTTTTTCAGTGGCATTTTCTTTCTAAACACAAGTATGCTTACTTTCTCTAATATTTTACTGGCCATGTCTTTGTGCTGGGAGCATCAGTGAGAGTGAGACCTGTTAGTTAGTCAGCGCCACTCCCACAACATCCTCCTTCTCGCTTTATTATACAAACCAAACCACTTGATTCCAGAAGGTGGGTGGAACACGGGCAAACTAGCAGAACTGCTTATTGACACGTGGAGACTGAATTTATTTCCCCCCGCTCATGTCAGCTCTAAATCGTTGAGTGAGTGAATTGTGCCTGTGGGTCCTCCTGGTGCCCTGCAGTGTGGGGCATAAATACTTATTGACTGCTTGTCTCGCTGGAAAATGGCTTATTTCTAGCTTTCCTCTATAACTGGGTTTGACAGACTTAAGGAAATAGTGGAGCTTTCAGGGACCCGTTCCCAAAGACCCCACTCAAGATCTATGAATTCCTTTGACTCCCTTGAGGGCCACATGCCTCCAGAAAAGAAGGGTGGGCTTTTAGGGATTTTCATAGATGGAAAAGAAAATAAGTAGGATTGCAAGGCTCAGAGACCAGTGAAAGTGGAGTGCCAGTAAGAATCTTTCAGCTCATGTCTCTTCTTTCGTTCAGGTTTAGTTTCTTTTCTGGATTCCTTTTTTTTTTTTAAGAACTTTTTTCCCTCTTATTTCTTTTTTAAATATTTACTTATTTATGCATACAGAACTGAGGTACAGGCCAGAGGTGCAGAAGTGGTGAGAGGATTCACCAGAGACAGAGAGGGGAGCAGAACAGGCAGATCGACGAAGCACACTGCTGAGGGGGCAGGTCAGGAAAAGTCTGCTGCGCCATGTGGGTCACTTCCAGGGCTGGGGGTTGAACTTGCATTGCAGTGGCTGTGGCCAGCTTGCAGTGCTGCATGCTAACCTGTTGTGCCACCAGGGAGAGCTTTTTTTTTTTGCCAACAGACAATAGGTTGTAGCGCCTTCTTTCACCAGGTGCCAACTCTGTGAGTCCAAATTGCCACGAAACTCAGGAGCCAGGTGAAACACCATTGGCTGCTCATCAAGGGACCCTGCCCTGGGGACCCTTCCAGGGATGGAGCACCTCCTTTGAGGAAAGCCCAGGCCAGCTGAAGTCTCCTGCAGAGAGTTAATTTCACCTTCCTGTAGGATTCTACTGCAGTTATCAAAGCCTATGCTAATTATTGGCTTATACTAATTTTTTTGTTCATGCTAATTATTTTGTTTATAACTAGCCTTACTAATTAACCACTAACAGGTGTGAATTTGCTACAAGACACTTCATTGCAAGGGTGCTACACTACCTAGATTTTCCAGATAAAGCAACTGGTCTCGGTTGTCCATTCTCCCTGCTGGAGCTAAATTCAAGGACAGACACTTCTTAGTGAGTTTTTCTCTAGTTCTTGAAGAACCCCAGGTCTTATGCAATTGCCTCTGTCATCCTTGGCTGAAGTCCTGTGGTTCAGACCCTGGGAGGCCCGCGGCAGCGCCCCCTATGTGGGAGCGGGGTAGCTGCTGCTTTCTGCTTCCTGCACCAGCTGGTGAGCTCTAGGCACAGAGCTTTCCCTCTACTTGTGAAGCCCTTGGGTGGCCTCTTCACGGCACTGCCACACAACTACATTCTCTTCAAGAACATGCCCTCTCCTCAGCATCTAGAACACGACATAACTCCTGACCCTTTTGACTAAAGCTCTCTCTCAACTGCCCCTTGCCAATTAACTCTCTCCCTTGGCTTAAATAAACTGTTGATCACACCATCCAATCTGGGCTGTGTTTCCAACAAGGGCGTTTACTTTCAGCCTTGATTCTTGATTCTTTAAAAGCGAACCAGACATAAAGAACTTGTTCACAGGGAATCCCCTCACACATTTAGCAGTGTCTCACCTCCCCATGGGCTTTGCTGCCTTTCTGGGCACTTCCAGAACTTAGCTAGGAATCTAGAAGAGGATGCCTAGCCAATGGCTGTCCAAACATTGCCGGAGAGTGGAGGATGTGTGTGGGGGCGGGGTGAAGGGGGGGAGAGAGGAGCAGAAACGGAGACTTCCCCTCAGGTCTGCCTACACGGTTGGAGAGAGTTCCAACCCAGAGGAGACTGGCTCACGGTCGCAGTCACCCGGCCCATGGTGTGGGGGAGGGAGGGCCCCAGGAGGACTGGACCTTAGAAATGGCCCGGGCTTTTCTCCAATGGCCAGCTGCAGCTTCTAGCTGAGAGCGGGAAGGAACAGAGTGGGGACGAAAGACCAGAAGGGACTGGCAGAGTCCGGCCTTGGACAGCCCCGGGCTGGGCTCGCGGCGCCCAGAGACGGCTCACTGGAGACTGGGCCGGGGCGGGGTGCCCAGACTCGGCCAGCGCCGGGGTGCGTTTCCCACTCACACCCGCCGGCTGCAGTTCCCCGCGCGGCCGCCGAGCAGCTCCGGCCCCG